GATAATGTAATCTTGTTCAAATTTATTTCATAAAATTGGTATCGAAAAAAGTATCGTTCAGGAACCGGTATCGAAGTCAAGGTATCGGTATCGATATCGAAAATTTTTGAACGATACCCAGCCCTACTGAATATAATAATTTTCATATATAGTAAATTGCTTGCGCCTCAGAGCGAGCAGACGAAACACAATAAATGCTACCATTGCTTTCGGAGGTGGATGCCTGCTGTTTGGGAACGCATTCGTGTCAGACAGTTCTGGGAGGCAATTATACAGAAATAGTTTAATGACAGACTTTGCTCAGGCATTTAAGAATGACTGTAACATTTCAGATGCTGTGAAACGAGATCGGCCCGCTGGTTAGTCAGGTATTGCCGTCCCATAGCGCAAAGTCACGTGACTCATGTTTTTGATGCGCATGGAGGAATTTATTCGGCAAATGTGTTTCCATCTCCCATTATTCGCATTAATCCTTTTTCTTACAAGTCAAAAACCACCTCAAATGAGCGTAATTATTTTTATTTTTTTTTCGAATTTCCGAAATTTGGTGTTTCCATTACTCGTTTCTGATGCGATACGTCGAAATGCGCATAAACAAGCACAGGGAGAGTGCAAAAACAAATTAGAGTGAACTGCAGCAGCAGAACCTGTTTACCAAGAGCCCTCGGGTCCTGCTGCATAGTGCACCCAGTCAATTCATACTGCTCAGATGGGATCAGTTGTGTGTTTCCATTCATAGAGAGACTGTGTCCTTGTTGTCTTTCTAAATTTGTTTGCATCTGTGTGTCTGCAGACTCACCCGGAGTTCCAGCCAGCGCTAACGCACACCAGCTCTTCCGCGGCTTCAGCTTTGTGGCCTCTAACCTGGATGAAGAACAGCCACTGGCCGAGACCAAGCAAAATTCTGTTAACCCCATTGTAAGGGTGAGCAGGACTCTGAGAACTCTTATGGAGATTTATGATGGCAACCATCCACAAGTCACTCAACATACCTTAGCAACATGTTATAAGCTACTAAAAATACTGTAGCAAAAGTATAGAAACTAAAAGCTATTTAAAAAAATACTGAAAATACATTAACTGTTGTAGCAACATGCAAAAACAACTCAAAATACATATAGCGACGTGTTAAAAGCCACTCAGAATTCCTTAGTAAACCTATAACAACTAAAAGCCATTCAAAATACCTTAGCAGCCACATAGTGACACGCAAAAAACAGTTAAACTACATTAGCACATGCAGCAACATGCTAAAATCAACTCAAAATACCACAGCTGCACAGCCACATGCTAAAAGCCACTTAAAGTACCTTAGAAAACCTAAAGCATCTAAAAGCCATTCAAAATACATTAACAACCACATAGTGACATGCAAAAAACACTTCAAATACCTTTAGCAACATGCTACAATCAACTCAAAATACCGCAAATGCATAGTGAATGCTAAAGATCACTCAAAATACCTTAGCAACTGCTTAGCGACGTGCTAAAAGACACTCAAAATAACTTGTATACCAGCTAAGGCTACGTTTACACGACAACGATGTAGTCAAAAACGGAAACGTTTTTCCCTTGCATTTTAAAAAAGTTTCACGTATACACGACAACGTTTTCAAAACGATTCACGTTTACACATATCCGTGAAAACGGCCAAAAACGCTGTATTACGTATGCCAGGCCAGTAGTTGGCGCTGTCACCTTGTTAGTAAACACTACCTGTAGGGAAGTGACGATTATATGTTGTATGTGACGCGTCTCCACTGTTGGTTGTAATATTGGTGAAGTAAATCCACACTTTGCTGAAGAAGCGTTAGCAAACTCTTGAGCAGCAACAACAGTACCATGTACTCCGCCATTGTTGTGTATGTTTGTTCGCGCTTGCCTTCGACAATTACTGCGCATGTCTACATACCTAACACGTACTACGCACGCGCATGACGTCACCGTTTTCAAAGATTCCCGTTTTGGGTGTTTACACGGAAACGATAACGGTGGCGTTTTCAAAAACTTGCACTTTGAAGCCCGTTTTCAAAAATATGCGTTTTCAGTCCCCAAAACGCCGTTGTCATGTAAACGAACAGGCAAAATGCATAAAAAGTTTCCCGTTTTTGGCTGAAAACGTTGTCGTGTAAACGGCCCCTAAAAGCCATTCATAATATTTCAGCAACCACATAGCGACATGCAAAACACTTAAAATACCTTAGCACATGTAGCAACATGCTAAAAACAACTCAAAATAGGGCATAGTAAGATGCAAAAATTTTTTTTTAAAGACTCTAAATACCTTAAAAGTACCCTAGCATCCACCCACATCACCTATGCATCAATGCAGCAAATTTTGCACGGGCAAACTTCACCTCCCATTTCTTCAGAAAATGTACAGATGTATTTTCGTTCGTGATGCAAGCATGCCCGCAGTAGTCATGATGATACAATAGAGTGATGAAAAAGAATCAATATTTCACTTATGCATGCTTTGCTACATTGAGGGCTAGTTGCTGACATGTAAGAAATATTGCAGTCAGCCGAGCCAAAGTTGTTTTCTGTATCCGTTTAACCTTGGTCTGGCTGTACACACTCAGTCAATTCAGACCTATTCCTCAGGGAAGCACTTTTGTGTTGCACAGCACAAAACAAGAAGAAAGAGAAGGAAAAAAGAGCCCCGTGTTACATAAGCTGAACTAATTCTGCCAGATGGTTCATACCTGAAGAGCTGCTTTATTGAAGTGTCTGAGCTGAGGCTGCAGTGACCGGAATGAGATGTATTGATTGACGGGAGCGCACTGGCACACGAGCGCCGTTGTCTAGAATAGATCATTGTGATCTGATGTGGCATCTGCCGAGCATACGATATTAACTTACTCTGATAGCACTCATGAACATGCATGAGTGCAGCTATTTGTGGAGAATTTCTAAACCTGTGCCCTGAATTGCTTTTGTTTTCGGGAGGCGTTTCGTTTACCTGAAGATGCTGTCGGTTATTTGCATCTGTGACATATACGTCTTGTTTCACTTTTAGCCGATGAATATAAATTCATGGTTTCTCCATGCACAAAGCACTGAAGACTAGATTTGTATTTCCTAAAGGGGAAAAAAATGCTTGCAAGGTAGCAAAATAATGGTGTTAAAGTTTTAACATCAGGTTACTCCTGGAGGACAGTCAGTGCAGTGAGTGTGTTGTAAGATGCTTGGGGTTAAATCATCATCTACAGTGGACACTGAAGCCACACTTCAACATGTATGAATGCTATTGCATTAGATAACAATAAATGAAAAAACTGCTCAAGAAGGAGACTGTTAGTGTAAAGTTAGTGGAACATGTCCACAGTTGAAGTAGTGTTGTCATTTTACCACTCATAATGTCATATAATTACTCAGTATATTAATGCGTGTTGTTTTATTGCAGCAACTTCATGGCAACAACATTCATTTCACTGACGGCTATGAGTTGAAGGAGGATATCGGCATTGGAGCGTATTCGGTCTGCAAACGTTGTGTCCACAGAATCACCAGTGTGGAGTATGCTGTCAAAGTAAGTATGAAATCTAATCTTAAAAACGATGCTCTTCGTGTGACAAAACACACAGTGCAGTGTTATTTAGTGAACAGCAGAGGCAGTGGCTGTTTCAGGAGAGGTTTTTTGATGAATTGCCGTAGAGGACAGCATCACTCAGTGTCAGTCGAAGCTTTATCAGACACCGCTGTGACCAGCCCACTTCATTTCAGATTATTGACAGAGCCAAGAAGGACCCGTCTGAAGAGATCGAGATTCTTCTGAGATACGGCCAGCACCCAAACATCATTACTCTGAAAGATGTGAGTCACACTTGAAAAAATAACAAATAACAAATGCTACTTAAGTTTTATGGAGACCCCCTACTAGACTAAATTATATATATAAGTCTTGGTTTCTGAAAAAAAAAAAATCAATATTTTGTGTATTTTTGTTTAGAACAAGACACAATATCTGCCAATGGGGTAAAAAAAAAATCTTAATTCAAAGGGATTATTTTTTATTTTTTCATTATTTTCTTACCCCATTGGCTGATTTTTTTTTCTTGTTTTAAGCAAAAATTAACAAACTTTTGACAATATTTTTCAGAAAACAGGACTTAGTATCTTAAGTCTCAAGTATACTGTATGTGTCTTGATTTAAGAATCTTTCGATATTTGTAATGGAAAACAAGACAAAAATACTAAGAAAATCTTTTTTTTTTTTTTTTTTTGCAGTGATAGCTTTTAGTCTTTGCAACTTCAGGGATCTTATCTATGCACAATCAGCTTGTAACACTCCAAAGAGAAAGGAAAACTTGAAATCGCATCATATGACCCCTTTAAGGCCTTTATCTCAGCTGTCTTACCATGTTAACCTGCTTTACCGTTGATCCAGTTTCACAAGTTTTCTTCTGGTTGCGTAAGGCCTCCTGGGCTCCCTCTGATCTGCTGATGTCTGTGATTGAAAGCTGCATTACTGCAGTGTGATGGAGACAGTGAGCTGAGCTGTGCTGTGCTGTGCTGTGCTGTGCTGTGCTGCAGGTCTATGATGACGGCAAGTTTGTGTATCTGGTGATGGAGCTGATGAGAGGAGGAGAGCTGCTGGACCGGATCCTGCGGCAGAAGTGCTTCTCAGAGCGCGAGGCCTCAGCTGTGCTCTGCACCATCACCAAGACTGTGGAGTATCTGCATTCGCAGGGGGTCAGTTTGCATGTGGTCACAGTGGGGACGCTAAATAGTTACTTGTTTAGTTGCTACTGAAGATAAAAGTGCCATAGAAGTTCGAATACAGCAAATTGCACAGATTTTGGAATGTACTGCATTATTGTTTCTGCGTCTGTGTCCAGGTTGTGCATCGAGACTTGAAGCCCAGTAACATCCTGTATGTCGATGAAACAGGCGACCCAGAGTCCATCAGAATATGTGATTTTGGGTTTGCCAAACAGTTAAGGGCTGAAAATGGTCTGCTCATGACACCGTGCTACACTGCAAACTTTGTGGCCCCAGAGGTACGTTTCGATACAGTACATATTTCTTTTCAGTGTTATGATTTATTAGTTTCTAAAAAACTGTCGAATGACAACCCTGTGATTCATCCAGGTCCTGAAGAAACAGGGATATGATGCCGCCTGTGATATCTGGAGCCTGGGAATCTTACTGTACACCATGCTGGCAGGGTAAGTTGAGTGTTATGTTATATATTACATATACACTACCTTTCAGTTTGGGGTCAGTTGGATTTTTGAATATAATACAACTGTACAATATACTTTTATACAGAAAGGATGCATTAAATTGATCGAAAGAGACAGTAAAGACTTTATTTCTTTTCATTCTTTCGATTTCAGCATATTAGAATGATTTCTAAAGGATCATGTGACATTGAAGACAAAAATGAAAATTCAGCTTTGCCATCAAAGAAATAAATCCCAGTTTAAAAAAAATATTAAAATAGAAAACAGTTAGTTATTTAAAAATGTAATATTATTTCACAATATTAATGTTTGTACTGTATTTATCAAATAAACTTATGAGCATAAGAGACTTATTAGACAAAAACATATTAAAAATCTTACCGACCCCAAACAGTTTATACAGTAGTGTATGAAGTATAAATACAATCACAACTTTTACAGCCAAGTTTGGACATTTCTGATTACATTTTTTTTGTTTCTCGTGATATTAAAAACCTTCAGATCCAATTAGTTAAAGTTAGTTAAATTGGTTTTTTTAAGCAATTATAATTTCTATCTACATTTTATTATTATTGTTATTATTGTTATTATTACTAAACTGTACAGTAATTTTAATAAAGACGGTAAAATGGCTGAGATAGTAAAGGTAAAGCAGGTGTCAAGTGTCCAGGATACATGTGAACTCCTTACGGTTTAAAAAGCATCCCAGAATGCACCTCATCTGCTCATCAGAGTGAGCAAATCTAGATGATGACAAATTAGCAGAAATTACGAAAATGTGATTAGTTTTTACATAATTTTCATGTAACTATTTAATGACCTTACTGTTGTTCTAATGTGTGGAAAATAGTCAAAAGTAATCAAATTAAGAATAAGTTGCTGTATCCAAACCTGGTACTTCACAATTTTAGTTGTAATATGGTATTATAGTTAAAAACTCACTTTAAAAATCAGCAGAAACCAGCCCTAGTTAAACAAAACAAGCAACCAGAATAGCCACATAAAAAAAAGCTTCACATGCAACCATACTGCAATGTTGTTGTTGTTGTTTCCCCCTCTCAGTACAGATTCTATTTGTTGCTTTGAATGAACTGACAATATTCATCTAGGCATGCTAACACTCTTTGTCCCATCAGTCTGCCCACACTCTAAAAAATGCTGGGTTAAATACAACCCAGTGCTGGATAAAATAGGGACAAACCCAGCAATTGGGTTGTTTTGACCCAGCGGTTGGGTTAAATGTTTAACCCAACCTTCTGGGTAGTAACCCAACCGCTGGGTCAAAACAACCCAATTGCTGGGGTTGTCCCTATTTTACCCAGCACTGGGTTGTATTTAACCCAGCATTTTTTAGAGTGCACATGACCCAAGAGCCCAGCCTTAACTTTCTTCACTTTCTGCAACATTATGATTGACCTATCAACACAAATAAATCAAAACTCTATGTAGCACATCCTTTCTCCCAATGCTCGGATGAGGGACTAATTTCTAGAGCAGGGTGGAGGGGATTACTAGGTAAGCTGGGTCAAGTCACAGAGTAATTGTACTGAACACAATGCCAGAGCTATCGGAAGCCAAGCAGCACTCTCAATTTAATGTTCCTGACTATGGATTGAGCTTTAAACCTCTGTGTAATCAGAACATTTGAAAAAAAGAACCCACACTCTAAAAAATACTGGGTTAAATACAACCCAGTGCTGGGTAAAATAGGGACAAACCCAGCAATTGGGTTGTTTTGACCCAGCGGTTGGGTTACTACCCAGAAGGTTGGGTTAAACATTTAACCCAACCGCTGGGTCAAAACAGCCCAATTGCTGGGTTTGTCCCTATTTTACCCAGCACTGCGTTGTATTTAACCCAGCATTTTTTAGAGTGCACATGACCCAAGAGCCCAGCCTTAACTTTCTTCACTTTCTGCAACATTATGATTGACCTATCAACACAAATAAATCAAAACTCTATGTAGCACATCCTTTCTCCCAATGCTCGGATGAGGGACTAATTTCTAGAGCAGGGTGGAGGGGATTACTAGGTAAGCTGGGTCAAGTCACAGAGTAATTGTACTGAACACAATGCCAGAGCTATCGGAAGCCAAGCAGCACTCTCAATTTAATGTTCCTGACTATGGATTGAGCTTTAAACCTCTGTGTAATCAGAACATTTGAAAAAAAGAAGAAAAAAATCATCTCACTCTTCTGACCTAGCCATATGTGTACACTAAAAATAACTCGGTGGAAATGGGGGATATTGTATAAAAAAGCCACTCTTTTCTTTCTCTTCTCACCCTATCTCTGTAAGGGCGCATTCACAAGTTCTTTCACACACTCAGCTCTCGTTCTGTCCCACAGTTTCACACCCTTCGCTAACGGCCCTGACGACACACCAGAAGAGATCTTGGCTCGCATTGGCAGTGGGAAATTTGCCCTGTCAGGAGGCAACTGGGACACGGTGTCTGAGGCAGCCAAGGTCAGCTTCCTGATTTCTGCATGTTGGGATTAGGCCTGGCCAATACAGTATATAGACAAATATGTGACCCTGGACCACAAAACCAGTCTTAAGTGTCAATTTTTCAAAATTGGGATTTATACATCACCTGAAAGCTGAATAAATAAGTTTTCCATTGATGTATGGGGTTGTTAACATTTATTTTGCTGTTTAATACAATAAATAGGGTAAAATCGAGTTCATATAAATAACAAAGACATGTTTTCCACATTTATTTTACTACATAAATGTAAGAAAGATGTTTAATCCTTTTCAGTTCTATATTTATGTACACTACCGTTCAAACTTTTGAAATAATTACAATTTTACTTAATTACAATCAAAAAGAAATTTATGTTTTTGTTTTTTTAAGTCTTTTATGCTCACCAAGGCTGCATTTATTTGACTGAAGATGCAGTAAAAAACAGTAATATTTTGAAATATTATTACATTTTAAAATAACTATTTACAATATTAATATATTTTAAAATGTAATTTATTCTTGAGCAATAATTGTGCACCAAATCAGCATATTGGAATGATTTCTGAGGGTTCACGTGATGCTGACGATTCAGGTTTGCCCTCACAAGAATAAATTACATTTTATAAATATATTAAAATAGAAAACAGTACTTTCAATTTGTAATAATATTTTACAATATTACTGTTTACTGCTACTGTTTATGTATTTATTTATTTATTTTTGAGCATAAAGCTTTTTTTTTTTCGAAAACATTAAAAAATCTTAATCATTCCAATTTTTTAACCTGTAGTGTATATCAATATTACAGTTCACAGTACTAGGCAGCAGTGTAGACAGATTATGTAGGCAATAAAAAGGCAATAAAACCCATGCAGAGACAGCCATGATTATTTCTGAGTGGTGACACAAACAAATACTTTTGAATTGTTTTATTTGATTCAAACAGAAGAGATTTATAGAAATCAACTTATTAGCTACCATATTGAGACAAGGAAGGTTTGGAAAACTAGTCTGATAACACACTCTTCGCCCAGCCATAGAAATAATGTGCATTCAGTCTAATGTGTATTCAGTCTTTACTAGCATTTGTGAAGAAACATCATTCTTTAAATCATCTTAGTTTGGTTCCAAATGATTTCAGCCTCAAAGTAAGTCATTTTTGTCATCTTTGAACAGGACATTGTAACTAAAATGCTGCATGTGGACCCCCATCAGCGGCTGACGGCACCTCTTGTTCTCAGACATTCCTGGATAGTGAACCATGATCAGTTATCTCAGAGCCAGCTGATCAGACAAGATGTGCAACTGGTGAAGGTACTGCTCCTGTCATCCCATCTGCTGCTGCATTTGAGCGGTTGCCAGATCCACTCTCCACTCTCAAAGTGCAACATCGCCACCTCATGTTTACCTGTAAAACTGCACCTGTTCCACTTTAAACCTAAAGACATTAATTCTTCTTTTGACTTAGGAACTAAACGATTTAGGTGATAATTATAATTTTTTAATTTATAATTTTTAGTCCTGTTAAGTGAATTCTGGAGTCAAAACTATATACTACAAAAATAATATAGAGAAAAAAAAAATAAAACTAATTTTGCCACTTTGTATTAAAGGGTTAGTTCACCCAAAAATTAGGCTGTGTTTTACTCACCCTCGAGGCATCCTAGGTGTATATGACTTTCTTCTTTCAGACGAACCCAGTCGGAGTTATATTAAAAATTGTATTTGATATTTCAAGCTGTTTAATGCCACTCAGCGGGTGTTGCATTGCTTCAGTCCAAAAGAACTTAAATAAAAAGCGCCCATCCATAAAAAAAGTGTCTCACACGGCTCCGGGGGATGAACAAAGGCCTCCTGTAGCGAATCGATGCATTTTTGTAAGAAAAATATCCATATTCAAAACGTAATAATAACTCCGACTGGATTCGTCTGAAAGAAGAAAGTCATATACACCTAGGATGCCTCGGGGGTGAGTAAAACACAGCCTAATTTTCATTTTTGGGTGAACTAGCCCTTTAAGAAAGCAAATAGGCTAACTATATAGAGGGGTAATATAGAGGATAGATATGGCATCAAGTAATGTTTCTTGGATAACAGTACATACACTACCATTCAGAGAATTTTTTTGAGAAGTTTTTAATAGACTTTTTTTTTAATGCTCACTAAGGCTACCTTTATTTAATCAAAAATACAGTTAAAAACAGTAATATTGTAAAATATTATTACAATTGAATATAAGCATGTTCTATTTGAATATATATTAAAATGTAATTTATTCCTGTGATGCAAAGCTGAATTTTCAGCATCATTTCTCCAGTCTTCAGTGTCACGTTGTCCTTCAGAAATCATTTTAATATGCTGATTTGCTGCTGATCTGCTCAAGAAACATCATTAATGTTGAGAACAGCTGTGCTGCTTCATCTTTTTGAGGAAAAACATGATACTTTTTCGGGATTATTTAATGCATAGAAAGTTTAAATCATCAACAAACAATTTATTTGTATTAGTAATCTTTTGTAACAACGTAAAAACTGTCTACTTTCACTTTTTAATAATTTTATGTGCCCTTGTTGAATAAAAGTATTAATTTCTTTAAAAGAAAATCTTACTGACCCCAAACCTTTGAACAGTACTAACTTGAAATATAGTTGCATACAGTTTTTACCTGTCACTTTAAATGACCTCACTATTTGTGCTTCGACGCTGTATAATTTAGGATATATTAATCAATCCTATCATTTCCTAGGGGGCGATGGCTGCCACATACTCCGCTTTGAATCGGTCACCTCAGGCCCCAAAACTGGAGCCAGTGCTTTCTTCCTGTCTGGCTCAGAGAAGAGGCATGAAAAGACTCACATCCACTCGTCTATAGCACTCCAGCCAGACACATGAGCTTCTACAGCTTTAAGAAATGTCAGAGCGCGCAGGCTTCGGACAAGGCACCAGGCGACCGCCAAAGCATCCGGAGCAGAGTGGAAAAATTTGATTGACCACAGAGTGTCAGAGCAATCTCCAAAGAGTGAAAAATGATCTGCCAAGTGTCTCTGCTGATGTCAAGAGATCGATGAGGGCCAGATGCAAACATCACGGCTGTCAGGGCTCAAAAACAGCTCTTTCAGAGCGTGACGCAGGGTTTGTGTGTGTGTGTGTGTGTGTGCACCCCTGTGAATTTCAGGTGTGTGCATCTTGAAGTGTTTAGTTTTAATGGTGCATAACAAAGATCGCAGTTATTGTTCCCAAACTGTGTGCAGTCGGTTGCAAAGCCAGTCGTTCATAAAAGTTGCTACTACTTGCTGCAGACACTTCAGTTAGAGCCATGTAGAAGTTAGTAGAAGATGCTTTGGTCTATCATGGTGACAGTGCTGCACCTTAAGCTATGTGCCAGCATCTTTTGAACATGCATGCCATGTACAGTATGTATTTTTATGACAAACTAATGGTTCTAACATGCTAGTGAAAGCACAAAGAGCATTGTTCATGTTGTTTTTGGTTTACTAGTAACCTTCTTTAATGTCCCAGTTTTACTCTGTTTTGTCTGATTTCATTGGTCTTATGTAATGCTGAGGCTACACAAAACAGCTGTTTTTAATTCTGTTTTTTTTTTCATCTTGCGTATTTGCACCACGTTGTTTTTAAATTATTTATTTATGTATTTATAAATAATTTTGATATGCACGTTTATTTCTATTTCTGTTTAATTATTTAAATATTTATGTGTTTATTAAAGATACCCGGTATCCTTTTTTTATCTGTTTGTTTTTAAGTGACCTTTATGCATTAACACCTAAACCTAAACAAGTGCCACACCTTTGCACTAGATTGATTGAATGATGCTAAAGAAATAAAACTAAAACTTTAAAGAATATAATCATGTGCATGTATTTTCACTTTCATGGAAATGTAAAAAAAAAATAATAATAATAAAATGTGTAAATGCAGTTTGAACTAGACTACCAAATTTTATCTTATTGTAAAGTCTTTAGATTAATGATCTTGAAAACACACGATACACTTTATGTACTGAGGTCATTATCTATTATTTATTATAATCTTCTATTAGTTTATTTTAGAGTTGACCGATGTTACGTCATTCTTCCATTAAATGTCAAAACTTGCCTATATGCATTCGTTCATGAAAGTGTATTAGGACATCTGTTTTCCACACGTAACACTCTCTGCTCTGTGAAACTTATTTAAGGATATTCAGAAATTATGTTTGCATGCCATACACGATTTGTAGCAGCCTCTGAAAGTTTATTGATAGCAGTACAGATGAAAATAACCTTAATTTTCTATGAAAAAGTGACTCTCTAGAAGACAGTCCAGTATTTTTGTATGAATATGATCAACACCTTTTCCAAAATGAAGCTCTGTTAAGCAGAGAAACACATTCTGAGCTGTTTGAAGACCTTCAGCCAAACACTTTATCTTTTGCTGGTGTGGCTTTTGTTTTTTTTTTACATGTGAAATGTGAAGCTTTGAATTTTTGTTGTTGTTAATGCTGATGCTAATGCTATGTTGTTAATGCTTTTTTTTTTTAACAATACCCCAAAACAAGTTTGTCCATGCATCAGTGTTTCTACTAGCTAAACGACACAGTTAATGCTGTACATCAGACGGTGGCTACAAACCAAACAGCAACAGCATTAGGATCTGTCCTTGCTAGAAAAGAAATTATACTTTTATGTCCCGTGTTGGCTTGTATACCAACAATTTACAAATAAACAACATACAAATCTGATCGAACTGGTCACAGTATTACTATTGTGTGTAGTAGGCCTACTTAATGAATTTTGGACCATATCCGGTTCTTGAAATTGATGGTACAATATAGTGTGTGCAACTGTGTAGTCGTTTAAATAAATAAGTACGTACACTTATTCATAACAGTGTCCTGGAAGGGACGTTTTCAAGTGCATTCATATTTAATTCCTGCAAAAGTGTCAGGACTTGGGATGATGACGACAGGTATCTAAACGAACTGTACAAAGCTGGAATCAAAATTGTCTCTCATTTTAAACAATGTATATGTTTAGAATATAAGTTTGTTGTATAACGAATATATAAGAATAACTAGTCTAGCACATCCTTGTACAACAGAATTTGACGGGCACTTTAAAAATAGCGCCACACCTACATTTTCGCAATGCCCGCCGCCTGCGTCGTGATTGGCTGTCGATCTTCAAAAGCTGTCTATGATTGGTTAGTTCGGGGGTCACTCGTTACAGTCCGCCCAACCATTGCAGTCGGCGATTAGATGAAGGGCGGGGCTTATGGGAATACGGGTGGGGAAAAGTAACGTCCTAGTTGTGTCAGTGCTGAACTTCAAGGAAGTGTTGGATAATTTCAACTAGGCACTGTTTCACCTGCCGAGCAACGATGGACAAGTTGCGTCGTGTATTAAGTGGTCGAGAGGAAAATGAAGAAGTGGGACTTACAGCACAGGTACAACAAGGAGAACGTGTGTTTGTTTGCAGTGTGTCTTCGTCTGTTGTTGATAGGCCCCATAGAGTTTATGTAGTACTGTAAATTCATAGTGTTGGTATTTTTAACTTCCTTTTAGTTCTTACTTTAGTACTATTATACAGTAGAGGTAGCAGATGTTAATACCATGGTACTGGATGAATGCCATATTCATACCAGTGTCCTTCAAAGAATACTATGGTAGTATGTTATTACCATCATGACAATGTTAAATAATAAAAACAACAACACGATATTACCATTCTGTGTTATCACAAACCGTAGTAATACCATGGTGCAATTTAGTCAGGAGAAATAGTCTACATAAAGAGATTACAGTGCAGTTTTGCGCTTTTTCTGGTCTGTCTTCTATTTGTTTGCATATAATTGTTATGTGATAATGATATTTGTTAACACATTGCTGATTTTACATGCTTCCTGAGATGAAGGATCATGTGAGGTAAGGTCATGACCTCCGGATGTTGTTTAGTTTCGGAAACTGGGCTTTAAACACTGTTGCAGAGCTTAGTTGTTTTTCCATTTAAAATAACACTAGATGTTTTACATACAGTAGTGTCTTAAAGGGTTCATGTCATGAGGGATCACGTTTTAATTGATCCCTTTAAGATAGAAAGTTAATCATACTTTAAAAACATCCTGTAAGCTCTGCAGTGCTGTGATGTCTTGTTTTTTGTTATATTCTACACATTTATTCCTCTGTAAAGTACCAGCCGTTCTGTTCATCTTAACTGTTTAGGCTGTAATGCATGATGGTCATCATGTGAATGATTATATGGAAAAGTCAGAACAATAGTACATTTTCTTCCTGTCTTGTTCTTCCTGTGGGTCTCTGCATATATAAATCAGAGGCATTTTAATGAATCCGATGCAGTCATAAGCAAGTTTAAAGCATGAACTCTTTGTTTGTGTGGCATTATGAACCATGTGACATCCTGTGATTCTTCCCCGTAGATCCTGGATAGCACAACACTCAGTTTCGGCACACGGGTGAAGTGGTTTGTCATTTGTTTCGCAGGAGGGGTCCTGTGCTCAATACTTGTGAGTTAACTTTCCTCATTATTTCCCCATGATGGCCTTTATCTGTCCAACGATTTGCAGCCACCCTGACCTAGTCATTTGTTGTTACGTTACTCTGAAATAGTTCACCCCAGGGCTGTAACTACCATAGACATTGAGGGAGACATGTACCACCCCCACACCCCCCCAATAATGAGAAATGACAAAAATGTTCCCACCAATTTGATGTAGTGCTGGGCGGTATACCGGTTCATACCGAATACCGGTGTTTATTTTTGTTATGATATGACTTTTTAAAATACCGCAATACCGGTGTATGTCGCTTAAACAACATTCGGAACGCGACACTGTTTGAAAGGGGTCCCTTTTCACTGTTGCACTGTGGTGAGGGAACAGCTGTATGTGTTACTAAGCGTGAAAGTTCCGAAACTGAAGCTGTAGAACTAATAGAACGTGATGACACAGAAGAACTCATCCACAATATCCACATTATAGGCCACAAATATCCACCGCCCCCTGCCATCAGCTCCTGCGTCTCACAAGTGCGACTTCAGCACTAGATTTAGCAACTTTCAGACCCACTAATTATGCAAAGAACCTCTTTAATGTTTTCATCGTCATGCATGAAAAAAAAATACTTTAAATAAAAACACCACTCCCATTGGGTTATTTTAGATAAACCCCTAAAAAAAATTCCCCCTCATAACCACGTCACGTCATGATGTGGTTATGGCCTTGGTTCACCCTAAATCAATTTAATTTTCTCGCCCTCATGATGTTATTATTTAGACTAATAGGCTAATCTTCCCCAAAAATCTCATTCATACTTAGTTCATTTAAAAGTGCAATGGTACCAAGCACCATCGATCATTGCATGTCACATAAGCTCTTGCAATGCAGTGAATAGACTAATATATGCACAGTTTGAATATACTTGATCGTAAAAGATATTTGAGAAGTTTAGCCTAATAATAAATAACATGTTAAATTTCGGTTTCTCACAAAAAAAAGGTAATTGACAGCAAAACACTGTTGCTTCTTGCAATGCAATACATGTGAAAACATGATCACAAATGGGTGAATTGAGCGCCCTAATGACGCCACCCTGTTACTCTTCCCCCTCCCAGTTGCTTTCAGTTGGTGTGTGGTTTGGCCACAGCAGAGTGATAACACTTTACTGATAACACTTACAGCGGCAGTCATAAAGTATGCATGTGCAGACTGCTGTACATTATACCAGGGAGGATTTAAAAAAAAAACTAGAACACCTGTGAATCAGAAATCCACTAAAAATCACATTGACACCAGTTTCTGGACTAGTCATTGCATGCAAACATGTTTAAACAAGTTTTATTTAGCATACTATGTTGTGTGTGTGTGTGTGTGTGTGATATTTTGTTATGGAATGCAACAATAGCAATTAAGTTCCAAACACTGTTTAGGGCCACTGTATATTTTATGTAGGGCAAAGGCTTTGTAACACCACTAGGTGGCAGAACTGTTTAATTTGTTCATGTACAAACTCTGAAATTGATTTTGTTATAACACAGACATGTTGTTTCAGAGAAATGTTTGAAAATGGATTAACAAGCCTCATTACATCTTCTGAAACAGGGAACTGCACTCCTCTTCTTGCCTAATACTGGTGGTAAATTGTTTGCTGTATTCTACACCCTTGGAAATATTGCAGCACTTTCAAGGTAAGTGTAATTATGGCTGGGTTGTGGGCAAGCATGCAATGGCACATTCTCTAAAATGTTGATTCAGTGTCATTATTCTGTATGTGTGATTAGATTTACTGTACATCAAGTGCTTTATAAGCCTAGTTTTGACACTTTCTACAGATATGCAACAGGTAAGAGGCATGCAATGCATGCTGCATAAAATGTTATTAAACAAAATTAATAATTAGTGAAAAGAACATATTTTTGCAGACATAAAATATTAGTGTTGTCGCCTTGACGGCATGCAGGCTTAACCATTCGACCCAGCTACCAAAATTATTGTAGCAATCACATATTTTCTTTAATTTAATATACATTTATCAGTGACTACAACATTTGGTCTCAAACTGGTCAGCCCCTAGTGATTGACAGCTTAATTTTGTCTAAATCT